AACTCATAAAATGTTCCAATAATTAAACTTGACAAAGATTTTTTTAATATTTTTAGAATTAGTGTTGGAAAAAGGGGGTAATTATTTGAGAGAGGGTAATTATTTGTGCATTTACTGAAATAAAATTAGGTATATTATATTAGTTGGAGTTATTTTTATAGGAAATTTTGAGGAAAGTATAAAATATATAAGGAAGGCAACTGCTCGCGTGTACATTTAATTATTTAACTTCAAATCCTGAACGCCCAGTTAGTTACCTATCGAGCTGAATTTAACCTTTGGGATTTTCTTCTTTCCTCTTAGACCAAAAGAAAAATAAATTAAAAATATTGGCAATAATCCCTTGCCACGTGAAATTAAAACCGTTAAGATCAAAAGAAGATTAATGAGAAATGATGGGTCTGAAGGGGGGGGGGATTTGTTTTAAATTTTTAATTAAAAAATTGTTTATTTCTTCTAAAAAACTTCACTTTTCAATTTTTTATTGACTGATATGTTTAGTAAATAAAAAAAAATATTTAATTAAAAAAAATAAATTCCCTAAAGTACAACAAAGGGAACAAAGTAGAAAAATGAACGGGAAGGATAACAAAAAATAAAGCAACAATTGGTTTTTTTTTCCGTTTTTTCTTCCCTCTAATTTTATTTTAAGACCAAATGCTTCTTTTACAACATTTTATTTTTTTGTGACTTTTAAAATTTATTTTAAAATATTTATTGGCATAAGTCTTATAAGCGTTATAACGTGGATGTTGTCAATTCTAAGCCTTATAAAATAGTCCAAATATCACCTAGCTCCACAAATTTTTTTCTGAGAATTTTAGATAAATAAATTTAACAACTCTAAAAATTTCAGAATTTTTGGTTAGGTATTTGAAAAGTTATGCTAGAAAGTTTCACCAAATCTTACGGAACTGCCTATCTTTTTGGTTTTTTTGCCCATAATTCTTTTTGTATTTAATCAAAAATTCTGAAATTTGTAGATTTATTAGTTAACCCTTTGAAAAATATTTGTACAAAATTTCATTTTGATATACACTTTCCAGGCTTTTTTATAGCCGTCCATTATCTATTATTGCACAAATAAGGGATTGTATTTTCGGTGAATTGTCCCTACCCCTATCTATTTTTACAATTTATTTTTATTTTTTTAAATTAATAAAGAAATCTGTGTATTTTATTTATGTATGTACATATTTATTTTTTTCATTTCCCATTCATTTTATTTTTATCTAAAAATAATAGAAACAAAAATAAATTTATTTAAATAAATATTTAATTAACTAAAAACCCTTTTTTGTCAAAGAAATTTTTTTCTTTCTCTTTGCAAAAAAATAATATTTTTTTAAATAAAATTTTAAATTATAAAAAAGGAAATTAAAAAAATATGAGGGATAGCTGAACACCAAAAACCATTTTTGTAAGTAGCTATTATTTTCTGACACGTGGATTTTATTAAATAAAAATCAATTAAAGTTGGGGAGGGGTGGGGGGATTTTAATTTTTAAAAATAATTATTTTTGAGGGAATTTTTAATGGTAAAAACTTAAATTTATTCTCTCCCTTTTTATAAATTCACAAAAAATTTTTGTGGAAAATATACGATTTTTTTATTGCTTTTAAAAATTTCATCGGACAATTCACCGATAATTCAATGAAAAAATCTTTTTTAAATACTTTACATGGGCGGTATTCTAAAATCGAGGTGGGGGTTAACCAATACTTAACCAACCCTCAGTTAACCCAGAACCATTTTTCATAAACGAGGGAAAGGGTAACCTCGAGCTATGCCCTGCTGCGGGTAAAGCTGCGCAGCTGCGGGTAAAATTTGTACCCTCATCTGAATATCACCCAAGAAGATAATAATTTTATGTATAAAGATCGACTAGAAATCTCACTTACAATTATGTAAAATTCCCCTGAGTTTTTCTAAATACAACTTTATTTTCGGTGAATTGTCCATCTCTTAAAAATTAATCTTTTGATCTTTGTTCATTTAAGAATCGTTAAATCCACTGAAATAATCCGGATACATTCAGAGGCGTGGGTGACTTTGAAACCGTTGTAGCTTTATTTCAGTTTTTATTTTTGGGGAATATTTCCTGTCGGGAACATGCCGATTAATGTTTTATATCCAACTTAGCCTTTTTAATTCCTTAATGGCACCTTCAAAAGGATACAGTCAAATCTCAATAGAAATAAACCTTAGGGCTGTTATCATAAAATATAGAGATATGAGGGAGATATGATATCGAGATTCGACTCTATTTTTACCTTCCACCAAAACCATTCCAAGTAAATTGTATTTTCGGCGAATTGCCCCTTACTAAAATTTTTTTTTAAAAATATTGAGAGTTCAAAACAAAATTCTTTAACAGCAAAACACCAAATCTTTTTATCGTTTCACTTTTTTGATTATAAAAAATATATTTATGTATATGTTTACTTTATTGTATGTTTGTCTGAAAACCCCGTGAAATTTTTATTTAAAAAATGTTAAAAAATTAGGAATAACAACTTTTTAATTGAACAAAAAATAGTTGTTGTTATTAACAAAAAATTGTTTTTATTAAAAAGAACATTTAAAAATGTTTTAATAATGCTTTAAATAAACAACAAGTTTCTGAATTGAGTTTTCCCCTTTTTCTATTTTCTGTGGATTTTTGATTTTATGAGGATCATTCTAAAATGATTTTTCTAAAGGGTGAGGGGATATGTTTGCTTTTTAGCTTCTGACTTACAATAAATTTTATTTTTCTGGTTCTTTCAAGTTTAAAAATGTCTTTGTTATGTCCTAGGGTAGGGTCTAACCTAATACAAGAATCGAATGTTTTTCAAGAGCAATCGGCAGGGATAAGGAAGACCAAGACTGATCGCTAACCCGCATACCTAATAATTCTAAAAAAATATGACCTCAATCAGCGTTGACTTGGAATCGAAAACAATAGTTGCTGTGTCCCATAATTAATTCAGAAAATACCACAGACCCATAAACCTAAGAAAACAATAAATAACTTCCCATAATTTGCCAGACTTTCCCTTAAACAAATAATCAAAAAGCCCCATCCTCTTTATTAAAAGAATATTTTTTTAAATGCCTCGACTAAAGAATTTCTTCTTCATTTTTGTTTATTTGTTTTTTTATTCCCTCAGGACCAATTTAACACACAAATAAACGTTCTCTCGGCTGTCCTTTCCTTTCATTTACGTAAACTTTTGTGTCCTTATTTTTTTTAAATAATTTTTTTCCGTGTTTATTATTTCCCCCCTTCTTTTCCTTCAATTCCTCTCTCCTCTCCCACTCCAATTTTTCTTCTCTTTTTTCAATTTTCTCGTCATTCTCTCGTCAACTACTAATCGTCCGATCGGTCTTAACTAAAAATTTTACAAACACTTTATTTTAAATAATATTCACTCTCTCCCCCTCCCCTCCCTTTTAATTATTTATATCTTTTTTTTTAAATAAAATTTTGTGTGTTTGATAACAAATAAATAAAAATATTTAAAAATAAAAATTGCAGTGATGGCTTTTTCTCTTTAACACACATTTTTAGGCAAATTTCTTTTATTACTTTTTATTGTTAAAATAACTAAAATTTTCGTTTTAAATTTGCGCGTTTGTGTGTCCTCAATTTTTCTTTTTAATTCTTAAACGGGGTTGTTTAGGCGCGGATGTTTGTTGGGCGCGGGCTTGTATAAAACAGACATCTTAGAAGCTAAAAACGTGAAAATTTGTGAAAATATATCCTTTATAGTGCTTTAACCGTTCCTAAATTTTCAAAATTTTTGGGCTTGTTTTTAGTGAGTTATGATCGAAAAATCACAAAAACCCCACAAAAATCAACATTTTTGACCATAATTTTCCAAAAACTTGACAGAAAAATCTGAAATTTTTAATCAATGTATTTAACATAGTTGGGAATGTTTATACAAAATTTCACGATTTTAGGTTATCTTTTGAGAAATTTATTAAAAATCGCGCCCTAACAGTCTATTTCTCTCCTTAACTTAACCTTCTCCAATTCTTTCCCTTTTTGCCACATAAATACGAAAAAGCTCGCTTTTGATCAAAGAAAAATATTTGTAGCCCTTTTAGGGGAATTATTTATATGTTTGTGGTTTGATTTTTACTTTTTCCTTTCAAAATTTTTCAAAAAAATTTTTTTTATTTTCTTTACTCCAATCTAAGGTCAATTGCTCTAAAAGTTCTTTGAAAACTTTTTTATTACCTTCGCCGTTCCGAAATTTTTCTTAAAATTTATTTTTTCTTCTTTGCTCTGTCTATATACTTTTGTCGGAGTTTATAATAAAATTTTTTGAAATACAAAATCTTCACTTTCTTTTTGTAAAACAAAAATCTTCCCCTTTTATCTTTCCTTTTCTAAAATACAATTTATTTTTTTATTTTTTTTTAATTTCCGGAAACTTTTCTGATTCCTTCAGAATAATTTTCCGGTTTTATTTCTCGTTATTAAATGTTCAGAAATTTGTTTCCGGAAAGCTTTTTAATTTTTGAAGACAAATTCCTGTCAGGGATGGGTGTGTATATAATCTTTCCGGATTAATTTATCTTCAGGAAACTTTCCGGAATCAGTGTAGCATTCAGAAAAAGCTGCTGGGCTCTTTCGGAATGATTTCTCTCTCTCCTTTTTAATATCTCTTTTCCAGAATTAAAAAATTATTTTTAACATTAATAAAGACGAATTTTATCTGTTTAAGTTGAAAATTCCGTTAATTTTTTACATACATATTTATTTTTCCTTTCCGGAATATATTAATAATTAATTATTATTATTTTATTTTTTAGTTAATTAGGGCTACTTTTTGCAATTCAAAAACAACAAATAAATAAACTTTTTAATTGCCCTATTAATTACAAAATTTATTCTGGAGAAAAATTTTTTTGGAAAGAAAATTAAAAACAAAAGTTCCAAAAAACCTATTCAGCTGCAGCAGCTTTTTATTGCCGCCGCTGCTGATTGAATTTTGATAAAAAGCCCATGCGTAGATTTCTGGCTTTGGGCTGCCAAGAGCCGTCACTGCTGTGCTGTCCAGCCGAAGCTGCAAGTCCACCGCCACTTTCAGCCTTTCAACGTTCACCTAATAATTGCTCTGTTGGAGCCACCACTTTAATTCCTTCACCGAATCCACTCAGCGCCGCCACAACAGCTGTGGACAGGCTTTTTACAAATATTGAACGCCAACTTAGTGCAAAGATAGCACTCATCGACCCGCTGCTTTTAACAGCTAGTGGTGGAGGGGGAGGAGGAGGTGGTGGAGGAGGTAATGAAGATGCCAATGATCAGCAGGTAGACTTAACTTTATTACCTCATGAAAGGCATTCATTCACATTTGGGATGGGGTTATAATACAAAGTTGCAGGACACTACTAGAGTGACCCTCTCTAATGGAAAATATCTAATCTGAAAGAACTCTCCAATTGGAGGCTCTCTAATAGAAAAGCATCCCCATTAGAATCGAAGTTTATTAAAGAAGGCTACTCTCAAATAAAAACTCCAAAAGGGAAGTTATTTAAAGATTAAGAGATTCTCTTTGTATTTATGGGCATTTTTAATAAAATTATTAGTAGAATACCTAATTATTTGATCTTCAAAAATTTATAGAAAAGTCCTCTGCCCGGATGTGGTGAACAACCTCATCAATATACCACCTCAACACAACTTCAAGAACAACAAAAAGACAATAATAATGGAGAAGATGAACAGAAAAAACAATGTGAAGAAGGGAATACTCAAAATCAAAAATTGGAAGGAGGGCCACCTCAGAAAGGGCTAGATGCCTTTTTTGCGGCATTATCAAATGCCAATGATAATGGACATAAACAACAAGAGGTTGTTAGACAATCCTATCAATCCCTTAATTAAAAATAATTTTTCTTTCCAGAAATCCCCACCCCAAAACCAATTAATTTGTGGAGGACCATCATCAACCCAATTTAGCTTCCCACAGACATCTGCTCCCACAACGGCTTTTCCTTCTACCGATGATAGGCATACTAATGCTAACTTTGTTGGAAATAACAACAACAATATTTCCTCCAATACATCACCAACATCAAAACCTCAAAATCCTCTAGTTTCAAATCAACAAAATTTAAGCAATGCTATAGCTAATGCTGCAGTAAATATAGTAAATGCAGCAATTGCTGTACAACAACATCAAAACCAACAACAACAGCAACATTTGGCGGCTCTACAATTTGCTGCACAATCAGCCGCTTCTATGCCATTAAGTCCTCAACAGGGGTTAAATGCCCAGGTTGGGGCAATTCTAAATCAGTTGACTACTGCTGCCCCAAATATTTTACGACCTCTTGGAACTCAGTCTAAGCCTATACCGGTAATTTTTGATATATTATTATACAGTCGGCCTTATTATAAGATAGACCCAAGAATATAGATACAAATTAGTTTAAGATAGGGTATTTTAATTTGGTTTGCACCGGGGTGGAGGGATCGGGGATGTCAAAATTCTCTTTGAATGGTATCGGGTCTCGGGTAATCCATGACATCTTTGGCGGTGTTGGGATATCTTCCACCTTCCACTTATAAAATTTGGCATGACTCTTCCCATGTTGAGGGGCTGTCTAAACAATGCCTCTCTATTTAAGATACCTCATTTTAAGATAATAATGAGATAAGTTCGTATCATATAATATTTAATGAAAAAATTGTATTTTTTAGTTAGTAGAGGATAAAGTAGATTTAATGCGTTTCAAAAGAAAAGAACCTAGAGAATGGTCAGATGATGATGTTATTGCTTGGATATTGGATGTGGCTAGAAGACATAGAATTCCTTGTGAGATTTTTAGACAGTAATTATCTCGTCTACGGGGGGCTCGGAAATTTTTTTGGGCATCGGGGGAGGGAGGGGTATTTTTTTTCGAACCCTTTGAACAAATTAAATCAGGGCTCTCATTCGTACTTTATTTGAGAGTACAGTACTCTAAAATCGACCTCCGTACTCTCGAAATTGAATTTGTACTTTATTCAAAGTATGTACTCTAAAATCAACATTCTGGATTGAAAATGAAATTGGGGAAGGATTGAGCAAAAAAGTGAATTTTTTTGGCCTACGGCCTTAGAAATTCTCAAAATTTTCGCCTGCGGCGCTGAAAAAGGAAGAAATCTAGCTTCTTGGGCTCCAAATTTAAAAAATTTTCGCCTGCGGCGCTGAAACAGCGAATTTTTTTCCTACAGCCTTTCAAAATTCTAAAAATTTTCGCCTGCGGCGCTAAAAATGGAAGAAATCTGTCTTAAGAACCCCGAAATTTCCCAAAATTTTCGCTTGCGACGTTGAAAATGGACGTAAGAAAGTAGCTTGCTTGAGGTTAAGACTGTCAGGGCTTTACTTCTTGTGACAGCGAATTTTGACATGTCGTGTATGAAATGCACAAAATGCTCAGTGGAAACAAGAGATTATTAGAAAAATTCATTTAGGAGGGAAATATAAAAGATTTGAGGGCGAATAAATATTTTGTAATTTAATTTTGAGTGTCCTTTAAATTTGGAAATTTTGTCCCTATGTACTCTAAAATCGAGATTTTTGTACTCTTGATTGGTATTTTGTCGATGAGAGCCCTGAATTAAATATATACAAAAATTCAAATACTTTTGTCCTTTTTTCTAAATTTTTATGACTAATTTTTAAAAAATATTTCATCGATTTTAGGCGAAAATATGAATTTAACAAAGTTCGCCAAATGCACTGGACCTTTATTAATGTTGATGAATGAGCAAAGTTTTAAAGAGCAAGATCCCAAGTAAAAACAATTTTAAAAAATTATTTAAAAAATAAAAAACAAAGACACATAAATTTGAATTTTAAAAAAGTTGTCTGTTTTTTTGATTAATTAATTTTGGCGTATTTAGTTTTTAAATTTTTAAAAATTTGTCGGCAATAAACCTGGTTTTTATTGCGATAAATTTTCCGGGCAGTTTTTAATTGATAATTACATAATTTTCGAACCCAATACTAGCAGGATACCCCTTTCCAAATCACCAAAAGTGGGCATGCTTCCCAAAAAGGGAGCGAAATCGGTCAAAAAGTGGGCAAATGCCTCGCAAATGAGGTAAAAGGACTACCCTGAATGCTAGATAACCTCTCATTAGAAGTTACAATTTTTCGAAGCAAAGAGGGGTCTCGAAAATAACCGCTCTTCTTTATAAGCGAATAAAGTAGATCCCTAAACTCAAAATTCAAATTACCCAAATCTCAACATCCCCAAAAACAATTTAAAATTCAAAAATTTCCAGTTATGGCTCTTTACTTTTTGGTGAATTTTGTAAATTGGTTACCGACGAAAATTTTATTGATGAATGGATGCGTATTAACGGGCCTTCATGTAGCAGTAGTTATAGCGACCATCAGAGACAATCTTCAACAATTAAAGAAAATCCTCCTCCTCCCCAACATAATTATCAACAACAATCTCTCCAAATGACTAGAGCAACAAATAATGTTGGGAATTTATTAATGGCCAATTTAGCTTTGAAATTGTCCGCTCCCCAATCTTCTGATTCTTCTGGACAACAAGGACTTCTTTTGGCAGCTGCTGGATTTGCTGCAAATAATCATCAACAACAACAACACTATCATCAACAGCAACAGAGATTAACGGGCCAATTACCCCCTCCTTTAGGACATTTATTATCTCCGACAGTTGGGCAGTCCTCTTTATTGGCACTTCAACAACAACAAGGGGGGACACCAACAATACACGCTCCCTCCCCTATAAACCCTTCACAAAGACAACAACAAATTGTGGGGGCTGTTAATCATATTTTGCAGCAACAACCTGGGGGAAGTCAACAAGGGATTGGAGGGAGAATGGGTGTTAGAGGAGTTAGACCGGGACAACAACGGAGTTTGAAAGGTATGGAAATGAAAGATTTATTTTGTACTTTACCCTTTGAATGTTTAATACGAAGGCACTCTGATAAAAGACACATTCCAATAGGAGTCCCTCTCTAATAAAAAGTCCCTCTTCAATAGTAAGTTATACAGATACTCTTTAATAGACACCTTTCCTCTAATAGGAATGTCCCTTTCTAATAAGAGGATTCTCTCCAATAAGAAGGAATACAGTCAGAATTCACTATTAGATACCTTCTGGCTAAAATTGTGAGTATCACTCATTTTTTGCTTTTTGCAAAATTTATGCAAAATACTCTACTCCAAAAATAAATAGATAGGTAGATGATGGGCCATTTTTCACAAAATGATTTATAAAAATAATTTATTTTTTTCCCAAGATTTATTACTTTTAAATAAAAGTAAAAGATCGTGGAACGGAAAAAAATTATTTTTATTTTTTTATTAAATTTTAATGTTACACTTTAATGAGAGAGATCCTTTCTAGCTTATTAACTATACTAAATCGGTTTGTCCGTCACACTTTTTTTACAGTATTTGCAAAGAAAAGACGAATTTATTTTGACACGAAAATTTTTCGTAAGAAAAAATAAGAGAGAAAAAAGTTGTTTTTCCCTAATTCTTCAGAAAAATTTAAGTGTAAACAACAAACAACCAGCCGTCTGCCTTTTAATCGCAGGCGTTACCAGCCATCTGCCATTTGAACGCACCCAGTTAGTTTTTGTTAAATTAAACGCAGCCATTTAGTCGCAAAAATGAACTTTGATGGTAAACATTAGAGTCATATCGGCAGAGTCTTAGGCAGATTAAGATAAATACCGTGGATATAAATGTTTATGAGGAAGATCGAGGGACCTTAGGATTAATAAGGAATCGGTGCTTAGTCGGTGCTTAGTCTAGGGATTAAAATGATTAAATGGTATTTTTGCGTTCAAATATCTAAGGATTTAAGTGAGATCACGGTGACTTTGCAAAATAGAAAGATAACTGGAACTTTTTGTGAGCAACAGAGAGATAAATTAGAATAAAATAATATCGAGGGATTTAATGATTAAGAGTGCTATTAGTGAGGGATAAATGAGGGGATTAAAAGAGATTAACAGAGATATCAGGGGTTTAAGTGGATATACAAGAAGGATATCGAATCAAGAGGGAAATATAGAACGGATAAGAAGATTCGAAGTAATTCGTATATCTTTGATTTGGGAAAAATATCGGGGATCTTGAAGTTAAAGGTGGATATAGGAGAATTTTAAAAATAAAAAGCGATTCAAGATATATCGAGAGCAAAGAGGCATTATCGGGCGCAAAGAGGCAATTTTTTTGATTTAATGACAATATACATAGAAGAAGAATATCGATAAAGTGAGCTGTAGAAGTGATAAAATTGTATTTGGGAGAGTAATAAGGACTAAAGAACTGGAGAGATCAAGAGAGATAGGAACTATCTACGCCAACGCGGAAATTTTTTAGTTTTTAACTTAAATTTTGGCTTAAAATTGTTTTGTTTTTTAACAAATCACGAGTTTATCTTAACGAAACAAAAAAGAAATTCAAGTGTTTCTTAACGAAAAAAATCATAAGAAACAGAAACGAAAAGTTTCGTGCAAGTCTGATCAGGATGGGTATCAAGAAGTTGGAATATAGTCGCCAGTAGCTTTTTTGTAAATTAATCGCGGATACTTAGTCGCAATCATGAGACTTTAAATAAAACTCATTAGAGTCCGCAGGGGGCTCCGATGAGTTTTTGGGATTATCGGGGATTAGTGATAAGAATTTGCTGTGATTTAGTTTTTTGGGCGATTAAGAATGATATAGGAAGATTTGAGTTTTAATAGGGTTTTCAATAATTCTGTGAGAAATTAAAAGCGATACAAAAGGATTTAGGAATAATAGGGATAACGGTGATTTTGAGGTGATTAAGTGGATGTGTATTTTGTCCCTTAAAGTATTGATTAGGGATATCGGAGAAATAGGAGCATTTTATTGAGATAATTAAAAAGGATAACAGAGTTTTTTTTGTCTAAGGGTTAATATCTATTTAAAATTTTTGGAAAAAAGGTGATATCTGAAAGTGAGAGAGATTAAGTGGCGAATTAAGTGTAATTAAAAGGGATAAGAATGAATCTGGTGTGTTTGAAGATAAATGGTCATATCGGGATTGTGTGAATAAATGACATTTCAAAGGATTTGCGATGTTGATTAAGATAATGCGGATAATTTGGGGAAAAATGTGATATCTTTGATTTTGGGGTGCTAAAGAGAGATATCAGAGCATATTGCGCCAAAGGATAATATCTGGGATTTCAGTTATAAATTTTGGTGATCCATCAATGGGATTCGTCTGAAAGAGATTAAAAGGTGTTCTACGAGCGTTTGTTCGCCGCGAAGCGGCGAACAAACGCTCGTTATAATTTATTGGAAGCCTTTTTTGTAAGAAAAAAATTATTGTGTACTTAATTTTTGGACATACGTATTTTTATAGTTTTAGTTAGTGGAACATTTTAATAAATTTTTTAAAAAGGTCGATTAGTTAATTAAATAGATTTTTGATTAAAATTTAATGGAAATAAAAAATAATAAGGTGTAAGAAAAAAAAATTTTGTATGAGTAATGTTGAAAATATTTTACTTAATTACCGAAACTACAATTCACTGATTATTAAGTTCGAGGGAAGGAATTGAAAGGAAGGGGATGAAAAGAGATTAGATTGTGAATATTTTTGGGATTATGGATAAGGATGGAAGACCATCGAATTTGGATCTGAATCTTATTTTTTTGGAACCCTCCTTTGCCCTAGATTGGGTTCACTACTCTCGATACCCTTTCTTCGCTATTTTTCAGTCCATTTTTAACTGACCTCTACACTATTTCCCCCATGTCGATAGATTATCTGATAATAAAATGTTTTTTCCTATCAAGATTTAATTTTCCCTTTTATTTTTAGTGGCAGAACAAAAAATTCGTCGAAATAAAGACGGCAGACCACGTAAACGTTCTCAACACACAAAAGGCAACAAATTATGGGAATTTATTAGGGATGCATTAAAAGACCCAAGAACCTGTCCTTCAATTGTTCGTTGGGAAGATCCTTCTGAAGGAGTGTTTCGAATTGTTGAATCTGAACGGCTGGCATTTTTGTGGGGACAGAAGAAGAATAACCAAAAAATGACTTATGAGAAGTTGAGCCGAGCAATGAGGTGAGGGAGAGAAGAATTTTTTTAAGAGATTTTTTAGAAAGAGGAATTTATTTTAAATAGATTTTTTTTGGAATTTTAAGGGGTTCTTGGATTTTTTGGATTTTTGAGATTGTGGATTTTAAAGATGGGACTTTATTTTTTCCAAAATATTTTGTCGACATTTTTTGTTGCCGAATTTGATTTTTGGCTTGATTTTTTCTAATTATTTTAAGTCACCCTTTTGGTATTTTTTTTTATTTTTCGAGGTTTTAAATATTTTTTGAGACTCCCGCATTGTAAACCCTATAATGATATAAGCCAATTGATATAGGATATAGGCCAGATACTTGTGCGATATATCCAAAGAGTACCGATATAGGTAAAGCCCATAACTCACATGAGCCCCAATCCTTTATCTTTTTTTTTTCTAAAATGAGATTACATATAAAGAGAGAAATCATCAACAGGATATTTTTTACCCTCTTAATTTTTTTCTTTTCAGGACTTATTACGAAAAGCAAATACTTGTTCCTGTGCCAAAATCTGGACTTTATCCTAAAAAATTGGTTAGTTTACCTTTAAAAACTAACAAAAATTATTTCCCCTTCTTTAAAGGTTTACAAATTCGGTCCGAGCGCTATGGGATGGAAAATGGCTGCTTCTATGGCTGTCCAAACACAATTAGCAATTGTTGGTAGTTCAACAGATATTTCTCCTCAAATTCATCATCACCAACTTCAACGTTTATGAAATTCGTTAGAAAAAATTTTCAAAAAATTTCTGTAGGCAATTAAAATAAAAAATTCTAGTCTTTAAAAACTAGAGGAATTGATAAAAAGAAAAGAGAGAAAATTAAATAATGATCTCATTCCCTAAAAATATACAAAATAAATATATATTTCTATCAAAACTTCAATAAATTCCACAAATTATATGCGTACTTGTTTTTATCAGTCGGAACTCATTATAGGATAATTTACTAATCACTTTCCTCGATTTAAGAGATTTTATTAATCATCTGCCTAGCCATTAGGAGAGCTGAGGATTTTTTGGTTCGGTTCCAAATTTTCCCTAAGCCTATCCTAAAAAATTCTAAAAAGATTTCCCTACCAAAATCTCGAAAAATATCCCTAACCAAAAGCCCTAGTAATATCTCTAAGAACCCTCCAAAAACCCTAAATAGAACATGGAAAGGGTTCAGATCGTGGCAAAGACAGGATGTCCCCTTCCCTCTTCAATAGGGCATTTTATTTATATGTATTAACTACGACTTTTTAGGCCATAAAAGTATCTAAAAATGAGTTCAGACTGTTTATCTAATAAATTAAAAAATTATACAAAACAAAATCTCGGGTAGAAAGTCCACATTTTAAATATTTTTTATTAAAAATACCCTTGGTGAGAATAAATATTTTCTCAAAATAAAAAGTTTTTTAAATTATTTTTTCAACTTTAAAATAACCTCACCTAGGGTGCTTATTCTTCTTTTTGACTCTTTTATCTTTAAAAATTATTAATTTTCATCAACTTGCAAAAATTGATCTTGCCGTTTTTTTCTTTTTTTATACAAAAATTAGGGATGAGAAAATGGAGAGGGGTTAACTTTTAAATTTTTTGGAGTGTCAAACCTTCTATCTTGTAGACTCTTATTTTAATGTTAAATTTAGAGGGATATAAATATAAAGTCACACCACTATGAAGTTTCCAATCCTTTTTAGATATTGAGGATTTTCCCAAAATCTTACCAAATCCTAATAGAGCAGCCATTTATAGAGATAGGCAAAACACGAGGCTAGCAAAATTTAATTAAAAAATTTTTTTCGAAAGTTCGCTAATTCAATTTCTCCATTAAGGTTGGCGGATCCGGATCCGAAAAAAGGCCGAATATCCGGAAATTTTCGGTTCGGATACCGATTATCCGAAGATTTCCAGCTATCTGCCAACCTTATTCTCCATGCCAGGGTTATACGACATCCAATTTTTATAAACTCGACAACATCAAAAACGTCGTAGCGCTCATTCAGCCCTTCTCCATTCTCATCCCTTAAATTTAATCACTTTTTTAAAATTTTTCTTTTTTTATTTTTCCGGTTCAAGTGTTTCCTCTTTTAATTACCAGTGATTGTTAGACTTTTCTTTATTTTTTTAAACCCGGTAAAGACAAAAATTAATTTAAATTTTAGTTTTAATATCATAATCAACACAAAACACATTCTCTCCTCAAAAAATATTTTTATTTTTCTCAGATTAATATTTTCTTTTTAAATTTTTCCTGGAATTTTGTAAACTATTTTTAAAAGAATAAAAATATTTAATTTTAAAGTAATGAAATTAGAGAAGGAAAATGAGGGAGTAATTATTTGAGAGAGGGTAATTATTCGAGCATTGTCAGTTTTTTACTGACAAATTATCAATTAACAAATGCTCAAATTAAAGCTTGGCTCTATCAGATAACAGAAAAATCTTCAAAAATCGTAAATCGAAAGGAAAAACCACCGAAAATAAAATTACGAAACATTTTAATGTAGTTAGGGGATCATCTTCCTCTGTTTGTTAAGGAGTGTTTTTCTTTAACATTAACGATTAATCACTCAATTATTCTTACAGGTGGGCACTGAGAAATGTAGTACTTATTGACATGTGTAACTTTGTGAGATTTATTACTAATTCTACTTAATATTAATTATTTTAATTAAAAAATTATTTGAACTATAATAAATCGACAACCTTATCCTTCATTAACATTATTCATATTTTTGTATGTCGGCATAAATTGTCGACAGATTATAAAAATGTTAAATTATGTAAATTGAAAAGCAAGTATTATTTGCAGTAGAAGAAATTATCGTCATTATTCCAAAAATCCAAACAAGCCCCTAAACAAGAAATTTCGGTTCTATCATATGAGATAAATAAGTTTAGGCACTGAAACCAAAACTTATTTCATAGTAAATTTTATCGGTGTTGTACACCAGCCTCCAAAAACTCTTTTCAGATTCTAGTCGACATTGCAATAAAAATCCCGATTTCGGGAAATCAGGATCCCGACACAAAAAACAAAGACCGCATAATAGTTGTTCATTACTCGCTCGATGAAAGTATGAGTTAAGAGTAGTGTTTTAAGAGGCTGTATGATGAGCTAAAAGATTGAAAAATTTTTTGAAAAATTCTCAAAATTAACTGCATTGAAACAGAAAATGTCAGAATTTTCGAATTGTCAGTGATTTAACTGGAGAAAATTTTATTTCATGAAACCGGGAAAACAATGTGAAAACCCTAAATTCGAATTCACATTATGAGAAAAATTTAAAAAAAGTTTATTTTGACCCTATCTAGAAACAAAATTCTAAAAAATTTTTATGAAAACTTCAAATTTACCAGTTGTCAAACTGGTACCCAAAAATATACAAACAAAACTAATAATCGCTTACTTAAAACTTAAATAAATATGCCTAAATAAATTTTAAATAAAAAATAATTAATATTAAGTAAAAATTAATTTTTAAGGTTAATTGTTTTTGAAGGAGTTATACATAACTACATAATTAACTTATTCTATTTAACTATGTATTATTACAAGCAAATATATTTAAATATTCTTTTTTGTCTAATTATCAGGCTCTAATAGATTCGACTTGGAAAATTGAAGGAACTGCAATATGAGGAATTTTGAAGTATGTACTATGTTCACTGTTTTTGAGAGAACAGAATTTAAATTAATTATAAAATTTTGAAAGATTCCTTCCTTTAAGTATTAATTAACTCTTGTTTTGAATTTTAGAAATACCACACTTCCTCTTCATAAAGAAAAAGCAAAAAACCCTTTATTTACTATCAGTTTAATTTAAACATTATGTAATTTGCGATAAATAAGCAAATAAAAAATAAACTTCAAATTCTCATTTCTTTAAAGTAAAATTTCAATAAAGTATCCATATCCGGTATTGGACGTTTACAATATTTCTCCAAAAAAGCCTTGAATGTTGGATTGTTTGCCTTTAAATATTTAAAAAATTAAAAGAGAAACAGGAAGCAATATGAGGAAGCCTTTCTTAAATCCCACAAAATCAGATTTTTTAAATTGTTTCAGGGATGGAGGTAAAAGCTTAATTTGTGTTCTTCCATTTTATTATTCCCAACACTCGGCTCTATTTTCTTTTGGCATTTTTCCAATCAACAAAAGGATTAAATATTTTGAATAAGTACTATGACGCACTGCCTGACCATTTTGATTCTAAAGGATTTCTAAAATGTTTCAGGGATGGTTGTGGTATTATATAGGAGAATTTGGGAAAAATAAAAATGAGGAAAAGTTATTTGAAGAAACGCTTTGAAAATCCAGAAAAATAAAGATAATGTAACCCCACCCCCTAAAAACCCCTATTCTCTAACTACCTTCGCTAAAGGTATTCCAGCAGAATTCAAAGCAGAACATAATTCACTATAGAAATTATCAACTGGCTTCTTTTTGTTTTTCGATGCCAAAAACCAGGGCAACATCTTTATATGTTTAAAAGTTTTAGTGTGTTTCTCCAATTGAGTGATTTTTGAACAAGGAATCTAATTTTATTTAATTTTAGAGAAAATTTTCTTTAAATTTAACAAACATTTTCCGAACAGGCCTGACAAAAAATCTTTTCCCCGTCCGTAGTAAAGACTCCATTTGGGTATTTGGAGACCCATCTTTTACAAATATAGCTTCTCGAAGAAGCTAAATTAGGCAGTTTTCTCTTTGGTTTTTCTTAAATAAAAGCAAGATTTAATAAATTTTAATTTAAGACAAGCCGTTGATTGTAACAACACGGAATGGGCCGAAGATTCTTCTGGAGTTCATTATAAAATCCAGACAAAATTCAGATCCAGTAAACTTCAGATTTAGACAACCTCTAGGCTTAGAGTTTTGATATTTTTAGTGTTTGTTGTATCGAAGGTTGACTTTAATTCTGGACTGGGATCTAGTTCAGAATTCTTTTTACTGATTTATGTAAATCTAAAAATTTAATTAATCGTTTAACAAAAATTAAATAGAAATTAATTTGTGTGAATAACAAATATACTTGATTTAAAAAAATAATTTTTAGTTTATTGCAAATATTGGAAAAATAAAAAATGATAAAGAGAAAAAATAAAGGCAACGAAAAAATGCGAGGAGAAAAAAGAAGAAAAATTGATTATAAGGCGAGAAAATAAATACAAACAGATTCACTATAAAATACCCTTATGTGGCTTAAAAAATCTTATCCTATAATTTTTATTTAAATTTTGGATACTCGTCCGTTATACAACCGTAAACTGAGTGCCAGCTTACTTTGATCGGCTATAACTTTTTAAAGTTTGATCCAACACAAATTAATTTGATATCATTCGAAAGCCATCAATAATCTGCATTTTTTCTTTAAAAGAATAGATCAAGTCTGATCATTCATTAAAAAGTTATAACCCGATAAATTGAGTTATTTGATGCTTTTCACATTTATCGGATTCTAACTAAAATTTTTAAAATTTTTTTAAAAAACTTCCCTTAAGAAGTACTTAAACTTGAGGTATTTTTAAAAGGAGATTTTAAATATTTAATAAATCAGTATTAGAATTAGATAAAGGGCTATGATCCAAATGTTGAACAATTGTTTTAACTTTAAATTCGACTCTTATTTTTTCAAATTCTCTTGAATACGAGAGAAGAAAGGACATGTGTAAAATAGCTAAAGTCCATTCTGCAACCTTTAAAAGATAAAAAAATTTTGAAATTAAAAAATTTAAAAAACCGCTGAGAGGCAATGAAGTCCATAACCCTTAAAAAGATTTTTTTCAATAAATAATAAAAAAACGAAATTTTGAGACAATCTCTTAATAAGTAATCGAAACTATGAAAATTATGAGGGGGTAAAAGTGGGAATAAACCAATTCGAAAATTGTCAGTCATATCCCCAAAACATTCAAATTGTTAAAATTAGTAGTTTAGTTCGATTCTAGTTAGGGTTGGGGCCCGATCCGGCCCGGTCCGAAAGATCGAGTCGGGCAATGATTCTGGCCGAAAGAGACTCGGTCGGGTCGGCCCGATAAAAATGATTCGGACTCGACTCGAAAACCCCAACCTTAATTCTAGTACTAAATGTATATCTGGGCTATTTTTCGGCACTTAAAAATCAATCAAGGTTTTTTGATTTTTCATAGGTCTGACCATTATGTACATATTAAGGAAAATAGTTGAGGGAGAAAAAATTGGGCTCTGAACGCGGTTTAGCCATAAATTTTATACATTTTTAAAAAATGTTAAAAATAAGGCCCGAACTAAGGGAAATCGAGAGTTTCACAACTTCATTCAAAAAATCGAGAAAAAGGGAAAGAAGAAATGAAATCTTTTAGGGATCTTTTGTTGTAGGCAAAATCTTCTCATTTTATCTAAAAAACTTCTTAAAATTATAGTAATTAACAAGCCAAGAATGTCACCTATTGTATTATTTACTTTAAGGTCTGAGGAGATTAATTTTAAATAAGAATTGTTTGGATATAAATATTGTTTAAAAATTAATTTTTTATACCAGTCAAATGTATCTGTATAACAGCAGTTTCTTGGAAATTAGCAACTATAAACATTCCAACACCCCCGAGAAGACCAGCAAAAAGTGAAAGGCGATTTGTTAAAGAAATAAGAGGATCTACTTCTTGATCTGAATTTTGAGAAAGTAATTCGGCGACCAAATGGTATCTGAAACAATGGAAATTTCGAGAAAAAATCCGGAAAAGGTTGAAAGGTTGGATAAAGATTCCAAAAGTCAATGACTAGAATCTGGGGCCGTAGGATTCAGTGTGAATTGAGTTCCAAAATTAGAACTCTTCAAATTATAATTTAAAGATTTCTTGGTTAAAGTTTGAATAAATCTCCTCCCAAAACTTAATATAGTAGGTATTTTTAAATTTCGGGAAAACAATAAAATCCCTGATTTATTTTTAACTAAAAAATTCAGCAAAAACCTGAGGATAACAATCAAAGCAATAAAGAAAGCACAAACATTCAAAAACATAGAAAATATACAAGATTCAGGCCTAGAATCACCAGAAGCCGAAATATAGGGGAAAACGGGGTCAACATCTCCTCTCCAAACAGAAAAAGAATATGTGATGACTTGAAGGAAATTTTTTAATTTTTTTTAAATAAATTTTTTAAAAAAAGACCTAACATAGCAACAAAATTAATTGAAAATAAAACAGGCAAATGGCCAGCTCCGATACTTAAATAATTTTTCAGAATTTTTTAAAATAATTTATTTACCGTCCCATTTGAAGTAAATACCTTTCCAACATTTTTAAAATTAAAACTGATTAATTAAAGCAGAGGTCGTTTAATATCTTTAAAAGTCTCTCGTTCTCGAAAAATCTCAATTTTCGACTAAAATATAATCAAGCGGGGACACGCCCAAGTAGGCGCCGGCCAAGTAGGCACAAAGCTATAACTAGCTGGAAAATTTCTGTCCCTTATTAATTTTGGTACCAATCTCTTTAGCTCGATGAGAGGAATCGTTTGGTACTAAATTTGTTAAGATTTGCCAATCTTGAAGCAAGTTATGGCTTTACGCCTACTTGGCTATCAAACATCAATAGGTGCCCATCGATAGCCATTTAGTGCACGTAACGCCAACCACACAAATTTTAATATTGTTTTATCTTTTTATTTTTTGTTAAAGTTTGTCCAAATCTAATTATGTATCGACGTCAAATGTTCTTTATATCTTGCAAATAGCTAAAGTCCAAAATTTTACATTCGGATATAAAATACTGTTCCAGGACTGTGCGAAATTTCGTCCGATAATTATCGACGTTTAAATTTTTTAGCAATAAACAGTTACAAAATACGTAATCAACTTTATAAAATAAATAAATTATAAAAATAGAATTCCATTTATACTAACAAAGGATAGCCTTAACCCAATAAATTTATTTATTTAAATTAATTAATTAGACGTAGAGCAATTCTTAATTTCATTTTCATCATTCTACTCAAGTTTCTAAGCTCAAAATTTAATTTTCCGTTTTCTTTGATGAGAACAGCGCCTTCTTCAGCCAAAAGAGGTGAACACATTTTGAATCGTGGGAGCAAATAATTTCCTTTTTCTAAAAAAAAATTTTTTTCTGAGAATTTCAATTTTTCTCTGGAGAGGTGAATTAATCGTTAGGATCTTCTTACCATCTTCAACAATAATTTCAAAATTTCGGTTGGCAAAATATTCAAAAATTAAAGTCTGTCCTTTCTTTGCTTCCAAAATTTGTAAATAACTATCTCCAGCAGTTATCAAACAATTTTCATAATCTACAGTTTTTTGGTCTATTCCATATTTTTCCCATATTGCTCCATCTTTCTTTAAAAAATTATCAAATTATATCAAATATCCTCTCAAAGTTATCTCAGAATATGTCAGAACATGCTTAGTTTCTCTTACATGAAATCAATCTTTCTCCCGAATGCATTCATTCTCACATATAAAGTAGAGTTGGGCGAGATGGAGTCCCGGTCGGGATCGGGGGGATATCCCGGTTTTTTACATCCCGATCCCGGTTTTTCTGATCCCGCGACCGAAAGACAAATCCCAATCCCGATTTCGGCCAATCCCGATCCCGAGTAGGCTATGGAGGAAATGCATTCGGGAGAAAGGATATTTTTATGAATGCATTCGGGAGAAAGGATATTTGATATAATTGATAATCCCGATCCCGAGTCGGGATAAATTTTCGGGGGTTTCTTCTCACAATTTTCTAAAACTTTTCCTTTTCAAAACAACTCAACTCCATCCCTTACATTAATTAAAACAAATTTACTCTAAAATCGTCATTCCCCAATTCTTTTTGTATATTACACCCAGTTTCAGGCACTTCAGCATCCTTAATAATTTTTAAACCTCCATAGCCTACAGGAATAGAATCATTAGATATCCATTTGGGTATATCAGAATGCTGGACAGCTATATGGATTCTGTTAATTACTTTGGCTGGCAAAATTAATGAAATTATCTTTTTAAAAATTAAAATCAGTTTTAATTAATTAAAAGTAAAAAACCTTCATTAAAACATTCAAAACCCTTGGAGGGTTAACGATAACAATATTTTTAACAACCTCAGAATAATAAGACATTAATACATTGACTCGAGCCTAAAAATATTTTAAATTAAATACTACTTATTTTTTAATATTATCTTGGAAAATGCCCGGAGATGTCTTAATAAATGAGTTGACTTTATCTCAATTTGATACGATGCTATAGGCAAGGATTTCCGGTGTCTATTTAAATAAATAGTGTTTCTAAAATATTTCTTTATTTTTGAATTTCCTTTGAAAATTTTCTTGAGATTATAAAACCCATACATAATTTCGACATAATATTTCCCCGCCCGAAATTCAGAAAAATTGTAAACCCTGTATGCCGCAAACATGACCGCTCGGGGTGCAACCTACTTAAAAGTAGGGTTGTTCCCCGACGGGGGAGGGGGAGGGCCACGGGGAAAATTTTCGGGGAGGCAGCGCCACGAGGGGGGGGGGGGGGTTGGCCTACTTAAAAGGCCAAATACACTGTGAAATAAACCCTCTCGATTGAAGTATAGCCCCACGCTTTAACAAAGTTCCCTTTTGTGATATTGATGAAACTTAGGGCTCCCCAAAGGCTGTATTTCAGTTATAGTAGGTTTAGTTCAGAGGCAAAATCTATGTAAAATATTACCTCAAATATTCGATTAATCGGTGCCATTGGATTAACATATTGAAGTATTGACATATTCTAAATTAATTATAAATTAAAATTTATTTTTTAAAAAATTCTGTTTACTTGCATATCAAAAATAGCCACTCCAAAAGATCTTTTCCCACACTTTTGTTCATATTCTAATAATATTTTTAGAAAATATTCACAAGCACGGAAAAAGCATTGTAAAAATTCTCCTGCTCTGATTGATTTTGATGACTAATAAATATTTAAAAGATTTTATTTTTGACTAAAATATCTTTGTTGTTCCACTCTTTACTTCAAATATTTTCTCTCGTATACCGAAACCCTAACTCATTCCCTCTCTGTCTCTGAAATATCACAATAATCTAAGATATCTTAGTTATCCCAGCTAGAGTTGAGCGGGATCGGGATCACGACCTAAAATCGGAATCGGTGTTTGAAATAATGACTCCGATCCCGGTCCCATCTATCGGATGTGACGAAATCGGGATTCAAAAAAATCGGGACAGTGGATCCCGATCCCGCTCAACCCTAATCCCAGCTTGTCACAACCCTCACATTGAATACTTTCAACATATCTCAGACATCTCGCATTTCTATTTACCTCTATACTATATCAAATCTCTTAGTTATGATACACTTTTCAAAGGTGAATTAAGTTAAAGAAATTTATTTTTTAAATTAAAACTTTCCAACTTTTATCGAATCTTTTGTGCCCATTTCCACAAAAACAATTCCATTATCGAAAGAATTAACCCAATCGGATGTTGGTTTGCTCTGAGCAAAAATATTATAATAATTTATCATATCAGACTTCAAATAAAAATCGTCATAGGCTTCAGGTCCTTTCAATTAAATTATTCTTCGACCAAAAAATTAATTTTTACTTACTATCCAAGTTTAGAGATTTTTTGTTTTTAAAATATTCAAAGTAAGCTTCTGCTGCACGTTGAGGGTTCTAAATTAAATTGAGAATTTTAGTTTATTTGGTTTATGATTAATTTTCTCCAACTGATTACAGTTATAATTCGTTTCCAAAGTAAGTGAGGCAAAAGACTTGTATTGTTACTACCCGATGGCTGTACTATATCCATAGTAAATAGTTCCGGAGGATTTGGAATACAGAAATCGTTATAATGTTAAGTCACATTCAGAGATTTTCTCACTAAAATACCCATTTTATGGGCACATTCGAAAATATTTGTATAGGTTTACGAAACATTTTCCCCGCTAAAACAGAACGATTCGAGGCATTTCCACATTTTCAACGGTCTTCGGTTGACGAAACCATTAGTTCCGGAGGATTTGAAACACAGTAAAATTGAATTAAATTTCATCACTATATCAGACATTGCGTGGGGTTATTAAAGTAACTACACAACTACCGTATTAGGTTTTAAATTGAGAAGCTGGCCACTCTATTTTTCAATTCATCCTCAAAAGGACGAACTGAATCCACTAATTTAATATCAGGCATTGCGTGGGGTTTATCATTTACCTCATCATAAGCCTCCAACCATCTATCAAGGTTAAAATCAGTCCTTTCAGGCTCTGATATTTTTTCACCTAATAATTCTAAAAGTTGATGACGTTGTTCTGTTCGAGACATTGAAAATATAAATATTTTAAAAGAAAAATTTCTTTACTGAAAGAAATCTTACAAATAGCAAAAATAAAAGTAAAAATGAATTAAATAAAAAGATAAAACCGGTTTTTCTTGAATAAAATTTTCTTAGCAAAAATGAGGATGTAATTTACATTAACTGATCAAAAAATCATTAATCGCTTGAATTGTTTCTATTTTATAATTTTTAATGGATTTTATATTTTCTTTTCTTCTTTATACGCTTCTTCTCCATTCAATTCCTTATTTTATTGAAAACACTGTGACCTATTTTTTGACGAAAAGCTGTCACCATCCTTGAAAAGAGGGATATTTAGGCGCAGTAGAAGTCCGGCGCGGTTGATTATTAGCTAGGGATGTGAAATTTTGTTAAGTATTGTTCATATTGTTATCTAACTTCTCTTAAAATTTCAAAATTTTCGGTTTTATATTTCGAACGTTAAGACCAAAATGTGATCGAAAATAGGCATTTTCAGAAGAAAATTGGGGAGGAAAGTCAATTTAATTTTACCAAATCTTTCTGAAAAGAATTCTGAAATTATTAAAGAGATCAGCTAAAATACTTGAAGAATATTTGAGCAAAATTTAAAGATATATTGGCGCCCGAAAGTACCTTTTATTTCTGCATGAATGAAGTAATGAGAGAAATATTGTCATCCAAACAAGAGTTTAGAAGAAACATTGAATGTTCATCAAAAGAAAGGATCTTTCATCTTTTAATAAATATACCCATCATTTGAATGTCTTCTTTGATCTTGTAGAAGATTTTCTTTTCTTCAAGTTTTTATTTAATTAACAGAAAAGGAAAAAATGTTTTTTTCGGAATTAAAAAAGCTTTTTAGGAATAAAGAATTAAAAAAAATTATTAAAGGAAATTAGAGTGCTGGTTGATTAGTATGAGATTTCGGTAGTTAGTAATAGTGTGGGCAGTGAGTGATTAGTCCGTAAACGTTTTTAAAAAGAATTTTTCACACACAAACAATTGGAGTAACAATAAATAATAATTACATATGTATGAATGATTTGGACATTAAGAAAGATTAGGAGGATCTGGAGTGGGGGTGGGGGATATGGAGAGATTACGGAGGATTAAGAAGAATCTTCGTCTTATTTATCTATATCTCATCCATATTCATTTTGAATATGGATCAGATACCCTTCAATAACTTGAATACCATTACAGTTATCGCCTTTCTTATATAATATCCCTTCGGATCCATCGATATGATCCTTGATTGAATTATAGACCAATTAATTTTTAATCCGTCATGTCACGCTAACTAGAAATAGATAAAAAACACTGTCCCCATTTGAACCAAAGTCTTTGATATAACAGCCCAAAACGGAAGGGTCGATGTCCTACTCATTATTTTAAATTTAGCTATTTTCATAAGTTTTTCTTTCTTTTTTTTTTAAAAGGTCAAAAATTAAAAAAATAAATTTTATTTAAAAGTACAGCACAAAAAAACGACATGCCACGCTACCTCTTAGCAGAGTTGCGTAGTAATTACGAATTACGGCGGTTTTTAAGTTACGAATTACAATTACGAAAATATCGGAAAAAATTATGAATTACGAAAATAATAAATAAAAATTACGAAAAAATATTCTCGAAGAAAAAAAGCTCTCGTATTTTGTCATTTAATTTTCATAGTAAAATGGAAGGTAATATATATACTACATATAAATATTCTCCCATTTTATTTTATGTTGACCGGTGGTTGACTTGTTTAGAAGTCAATCTTCACTCACTTTGATATTCTGTGGGGCCAAAATCCTCAAAATTTTCGCTTATTGACCTCTGGAGGATATAATAGGATATGGCCGGATATCGAGGATATCATGGGAATTGAACGGATATCAAAGGATTTATCCTTTGAAATTTTCAGAAAGTTTCGCCTGTACGATGAAGAGGGGGAATTCGATATTTAATATAAATTTTTTTGAGTTGCGAATTACGATTACGGAAAAAATTTTCAATTACGACGCAACCCTGCCTCATAGGTAGCTGTTTCGAAATTTAGATTTTCGAGGATTTTTTTGAAAACGAAACATCTCTGCTCACGAGACTTATAAATTTTAAAGGTGAAAAGGGCAGTTTTCCGTATTATTTATAAAATGCAGTTTGCCTTACATTTTCCTCATTATTAATTTTGCCCGACATTCCTTTATAATTTTTTGCTTGATTATTTTTAAATAAATTTATTTTTAAAAAAATGAATTTAAAAATAAATATTTATTTATTTTTAATATTATCTATTAATTTAATTAATTCAAATAATATTTTAAATAACCAAAATATTTTTGTTAAATATAAAAAAGAAAATGAGAAACAAATTAAAATTAATTTAATAAATATTGAATTTATTAAAGACAACGAACAAGAAGTATGTTTTAATTTTTAATGACTTCAAAGTTATCAATATTTGAAAAATATTTGATAAAAGCTTTGGAATTAGTTGACAAAATATTTTATTTGTTTGACCTCCATTCTAAGCTAGATATTGGAAGGATTGAGAAATAACTTGGATTTTGGTATTTTTTTGGTCCCATCAATCTGACTAAACTAGGGGTGCCGAGTGCCGACTTGTTAGGACGGTTTCTAGTTCTAATTGTAAGCTCTGGTTTAGTGTTTAAAGATCAGTGAAAATTTGTCTAGTTTATGTATCCAACCCATTTATTCACGAGCTCAAAAGGGTCAAAGTAAACCATACGGTGGGCGAGACGCTTGTCCAAAGCCCCACGTTTCATTCGGGATTTTGCGGCACGCATCTCGCGCGAGTCAAGCGAGAACCTAAGAACAAAAATCTATTGTTAGTTTGCGAGTAAATTGGGTGATTAGCGAATAAATGGGGGGTGGATACCCAAAGTAGATAATTTTCGCTTGTGATACTCTTGGTAGGCTTTCGTCTAAATATTCAGAACCCAATGTAGCTTGTCTAAACATTATACATATGTACTATAATCCAAATATTTAATTTTTAAGGAAATTTTAACAGAAGAGAATATTTTGTTTAATTTTAATAAGGACTTTTCATTAAAAATTGAATTTGAAATTAATGGGAAATTAAATGATGAAGATAAACTTTATCTAAAACATTCAACAATACCTGCTTTTAGATATAAAGAAGATTCATTTAGTTTATGTAAGAAGGGAATATTAGATAATGACAAAATTTATACACAAAACGATATTCAAATAATTGAAGATAAAAAAATAATTTATTTGGATGAAAAGGTTGATGATGAATATAAATTTGGATTGGATATTTGTTTGCAAAATGGAACAGAAAAAGAAGTAAAAAAGTCAAGTCTTTCTGTTGGTAGCCAGACATAACAGCAAGTCGATTCACAACAAGGGGACTTTAAATTAGCATCTTTTTTAGAGAAACCGCACTGGCAGAGGCCTAGCGAATATAGAATAAAAGCTTTAATTAGGGTTAGAAGTAAAAAGTCATAAAAACACCGTTCTACCGCATAGTGTTGCGTACTTTTCGAGTCTTTAGAGCCTATTAAGCCTATTTCGGCCTTTTTGGACTAAAATCCGGAAGCAGGCCAAGCTACCCAGAACTATAACTTCATTCAAAAGTGTCGAATCCGGGACGCCTTAGTAGGGTTCGATTCAGTTCGTCTAGGGATTTGATAACTTTGAACGAAGTTATAGCTCTGCGGTACTTTGGGCTGCAAGTACAGTCAGAATAAAAACTTTTTCATCTCTTAAAAAATAATTTTTAAGGCACTTGTTAGAATTAAACCTATTTTTAATGGCTTAATTGGAATGAATATAAGAGATGAAAATGGAAATTATTTAAATTCAAATAACATTAACAACCACATTAATTTTCATGACTTTCTAATTACAGAAGGCATTGTTAAAGTAAATGGAATAGATGTAAAATTTGAAGAAACTATTATAGAAAATTCTATTAAATTAACAAAATTTTATTTATTTTTAAATTCAAATTCGAAAAACGACAAAATGAGCAAAAATATTTTTAAAAATTTAAAATTAAACGAAATTAATGGAAAAGAACCAAAAAATCCTTTTTTGGAAATTTGCTTCAAATTTAACGAAATTGGAAAATATTTTGTTTATATTAATGGTTACTCAAAACGTTCATTTCAATTTTTTGTTAAAGTTGAAGATGTAAATAAAGAGAAATGTTTGAGAAAAATTTTTATAAATTTATCTATTTATGAAAAGGAAATATTGAAAGAATTAAATGGATTTATTCATATTAAAATTGTTGAAACAAAAAATACAAAATATAAAGATGGAGGGATGATTAGTGTTAAAGGAAATTATGGTAATGAATATATTTATCGTGTTGACTTGAGACCGATGTTTGAAGTGAAGAATGAATGAATTGAAGGAAAAAGAATTTTTGAAAGTTTTGAACAAGATTAACTAATCAAGTTTCTTCCCAATTTTATTCTTTATTGTTTGAATGAAAAAGGGTTGTCGTATTTGAATCAGTGATGCAAAAGTTCCAGTACCGGAATCGATCAAGTTCCGGAACCGAACCGTTCGGTTCCTGTTTCAGTTCCGGAACTGGAACCGTGGAACCGGCAGAGGTCTGGAACCGGTTTGGAACTGGAACCGTGGAACCGATAGAACCGCCAAAATTTAAAAATCGGTTCCAGAACTGGAACCGGTTCCAGAGAAATTTTGTAACTTTTGCATCACTGATTTGAATAGATAACGTATTTATTCAATATTAATATTTGACCAAAGATTAATATTGACCTTAATATTTGACCTTATATCGACAGATATAACCTTTCTTCCCTTCGGATTTCCATTAATCCCTACAAGTCCCTTTAATCCGTCCAAGCCCTCCTCAAGTTTTAAATAAATTAACGAGAATAGACAGAGAACGAATTATTTATGTTTCATTTTTCTTTAAAACTCGATCCAGATCCGAACCCCAACCATAATTTGCTGCACCGACTCGAACCGCGGCGGTAACAATTTATAAACCCCGGCCCCGACCCAATATAGATCAGACAATT